ACTAGCTATAGCTCATCTCTACAAGAACTCTCACTGACATCGCTGGCTCAACGCCAACTAGAACTCTGCCAAAAGTTTGCACAGTCCGTGCTGATGCACCCTACATTCAGGAACTGGCTTCATCCTTCTAGAGGTGATATCTCCGACAGACACACCAGAGACATCTACTGTCCACCCTCAGAACAAGAACAAAATGATTTCAGAACAGCCCGATTGTTTATATGACCCACCTTTTAAACAAGCAGTAACAGTGATAGCAAAACAGTACGTATGATCATAGAACGCTGAGACTTTTATATATCCGATTTGTTTATATAATGTGGGTTTTAAAATCACTTCCCTTAAATACTTTTAATGTGGTCAAGTAATACAATGTACTTCTAAGTGTATTTTTAAATCCGTCATTGTTGTATAACACGCAATTCAGCCTGTGGCTGCCATGTGTTTTTGACGAATAAACCTTTCATCATTCATCATCAAATCAATTTGGTATAGAATACAAAAAGAATCTCTGTACTATTTTTATTCTACAGGGTTTGCCACAGATTTACAGATGCACCATCACCCATTTTAGACTCTCATAAGTAATTTGATTTTGGACTGTTACTAGAGAAAAATAACTGTTACAAGAAATTCTGCTTACTTTATTATGATCAAAGTGTCATGGCAGTGCCACAAAATGTAATAAGAGAAGATGTGATGAAAGGAAAGAATCAGAACAGGGCAACAACTGCTGTTTAGACAAATAAAAGACTTGTTGTTTCACTGTGTTCTTTTATTCAATTTACATGTGTATGTCCTAACATTTGTATTTCCTTAGTATGTTCCAAATCTAGGAGTCTTTTTTTTGGCCCTTTATGTTTTTTATCGCGCTTTCGCATTAAATTTAAGGTCTCCAGGGGATGTTATCCATAAAAGTCTTGGTGTGGCCTAAGGGAATGATCGATGTGTGTCCAACCTTTACTCTTTACAGAACAGTCTCTCAATGTAAACAACGTTATCTGATCCCAGGGCGTAATGGCTATGGGTTTCCCCAGCTGTCACTCAGGATCATCTGATTCAGACCTAGTTATCTTTGGTCTGTGGCCAGAAGGTCATTATTAACCTAAATAGAATTAAAGACCGCTACATCACTTCCAAATATTTACAAAAAGGCCCATTCCTCTTTCCTACAAACCACTAGAGTCCAAATTTGCAGCACTTTATCTAAACCCAGAACCTACAATGTATATACCATACAAAAATCCAGACCATTGCTTCTCCAGAATTTGAACTGCTGACAAACAAACTAACAAACACAAAAGGTCCACTGCAGTGATGTAGGGACCCCTACGCATACGGGACCCATATTTGAACTTAACCTAGGTCTCTACAACGGTAACTACAAAAAATCATGAACATCCATTTACATACTTGAATTATCTTGCTAACAAATGACAAACACTAGGAGTGATGTACATGTAGGGACCCCCCCATGAAGCCCATTTTTGCACTTGACCTTGGTCTTCCCAAGGGCAGGTAAACTTCCTGCCAAAAATCATAAACATCGAACCATGCCTTCAAGAGTTACGCTGCTAAATCCACAGTCTCCCACATAAAGCACACTGATTTTATACCCTTCTGATGAAGGCAATAAGTTTGTCTCGTTTTGTGTAAGTTCCAAAAATGTAACATGAACTTTATTTGGCACCTACGTATCCGTCTTTACTCATAGACCCTAGTCAGAACATCAACATTTACCGCCAATTTTGTTTGCTAATATTTGCTTATTACTCCGTGAAGGAGGTCAGGACCTCCGGACGGAGTGTTGTGAAGAGCCGTTTTTTCGTGTTCGCAGTCAAAACACTGGGTTCTCTTTGTGTAATCGGCATGCAATTTTATACGCCATCTGCGGGCATGCCCGTGTGGATGCACGAATGTGTATTTTTGCCGTTGCTGCTTTCGTGGTCAATGTAATATTGCAGATGCACCCCTACAATTATGAGGCAAATTGGAATGGTCTAGAAAAACCTGTTGTTTGGAATAGGGTGGGGGGATGGAACTTCAGGCAGATATGGTGAGGCCATGAGGGGCCGATAAGTGGTACCACGGCAGTAACACTCGCGGTGCTGGCCGCAACTGTTGCTGGAATTTGCCAGTCGCGCTTAATAAGTAACAGGCACGGTAAGACGGTTGGGCTGTCTTTGTTACTAGTGACACGACCATGATAGTCCGATCTTTATGTGAATGCAATGATTGTGTGTGTGTAATTAAAATGAACTTCGAACTTGAAGCACAGTATCTTTACACGCCCTGGGAGCAGTAATGGACTTACATGTAGGTCTTTTTATGTTTTATGGTTGTGACGCGCCCTCATTGTATTAACCGTTGCCTTACATTTGTATGTCTGCACAGTAGATCTGGCGTTGACGCTTGGGATTATTTTTGTTGCAAAATATAAAACTTCACGGAGGATTGTCACCTATGGCTTCTTGTTTTTGGTTGTTTTTGCTTATTTTCACTTACTTTTTACTAATATATATAATATCATAATACAGAACAAACATTCCATGCATCCATGGGTGGGTGAACAGACATTGCAAGACCATGTTAGAACATTTATCCATGCCTTGGAAGTTTGTATACTTTCTATTGCGGTTTCTAATTTCAAAATCATGGTTATAATAATGTCGCATAACAAAGCTGCTGACAAAGCAAACTTACATGTAATTTGTCTTAAATAATAACTTGATTTTATTATTTGCCAAAAATGTTGATAAAAACATATTTATAATCACAGTAATCAAGGATTTTAATAAACTGCATAAATTATGTCAATGCAAGACCATGTTAGAACATTTATCCATGCCTTGGAAGTTTGTATACTTTCTATTGCGGTTTCTAATTTCAAAATCATGGTTATAGTAATGTTGCATAACAAAGCTGCTGACAAAACAAAACTTAACTTGTCTTAAATAATAACTTGATTTTATTATTTGCTAAAAATGTTGATAAAAGCATGTTTGTAATCACAGTAATCAAGGATTTTAATAAACTGCATAAATTATGTCAATGAGCATTGGCAGTTTGGCTTAGTCTAGATTTTCAGCTTTCCATATCTCGGTTCAAACTTGACCAATTTTAATTTTGTTTCCACAAAGGGGAAGCCTATAAAATGGAGATCGCACCACAGTAGTCACGTTTTATTCCATGGTGTAGTTTTCCATCGGCGTGGCATTTTACATTATGTAAACAAAGCCGGCCGTACGTAAGCACTCATACTAGTAGTAGTAGGGATGGGGAGGCCTCGTCATCTCGTCTTTTGACATAAATACATGTATCTTGGCTCAAACTTTATTTGAATTTGGTTTCCACAAAAAATAGAGGAGATTCAATCACAGTAGTCACCTTTTATTCCATGCATTAGTTTTCTATCGGAGTGGGGATAAACATGACGTAAACAACTTCGTAAGGGTGGGAGGGGGGCATGTCGTCTGCTAGCCATGTTGGTAAACTATGGAACTAAACATAGCCTAGTGAATGCACTCAGGGCTCGAAATACATTTTTTGCATACCTGAACTGGTGCATGTAACATTGAAAATTACCTATTCCATACAAATTGTACCTGCACCACAGAAGTATGGATCCTACTAAAACTGTTAAGAAATCAATATGATACTGATGGTAAAAAAGTAATAACTAGAGTCCCACGATCTCATACCTTCGCCAAATGATGTTAATCTTTATGACTGACAAAGATGATTCCTTCTGATTATGCAAATAAAATCCTCATTTGTATTATATTTATATCATAATATTGTATTATAATATTGTATTATAGAGTTGATCATATTCTCCATCAAAAGACAGCCTTATCTTAACAAAGAAAGCCATTCTATCATTTCCTCATAAATTATGCAAATTATGTCCTTATTTGAATAAGTTATGTTTAATGATGTTCACCTTCACTTAACTTTCAAATACCCCAAGTATGAAATCCCAGGCAGTTAGCATTATGGAATTATAACATTTTCTCATTAATTATGCAAATTAAGTCTTCATTTACATAATCAATACCTGCCTGTGTTTCTCTCGTTCTCAATTACATATGTCACAAGCTTGAATAGTCCTATAATGTAATGCACCTGATTTATAGAATTTCTCCATTAATTATGCAAATTAGATCCAGATTTGCATAATTATCGCATAATTATGTCAAGCGTCACTTGAGCTTCCTACATACCAAAAATCACGACGATCCGTCCACCAGTTCTTGAGTTATCCTCTTTTGAATATTTTCAAACAGATAGCCCTTCAGTTCCTGAGCAAGCCGCTAGGGGGCCCAAACTCATGTCACTTCTTCCCCAGCATGAGAGCTACTTAACATCCAAATTTTGTCACCCCAGCATGTCTAGATCATGAGATATCAAAACCGGAAGTTTAGCTGCAGTACCATAACAAGCCGCTAGGGGGCCCAAAATCTAATCATTTCCAGGTCTCATCAAGACCTACCCACCTACCAAATATCAAGATAATCCATCTAAGCTTTCTCGAGTTATGCTTTTGACAGACAGACACACAGACACACAGACACACGGCCAGGAAAACATAACCTTCGTCAATTCTTGGCGAAGGTAATAAGTTTACCGGTAATGACATGTGAACTAGTCTATTATGTCTAAAATTTATAATTCTTATATGTACATGACTATAATAACATTACACATATTTGTGTAAATATATTGCAGAGAATAATCACTATATCTGACACTGATTTTGTTGCCATCCACCAGTTCGTAAAAACTGTAAGCCTTTTCATAAAAAATTTGCTGCGAAAATGGCAGCTTTTGTAAAAGCACTTGTTTCTTAATTTCTGTACACCGGAATTATGTATAATGGTTACACTCACCAGATCTACATGACTATGTAAGATAATGCAAGCCAATAAAAAAACAATTCGATGTAAATTTATCATACTATATTATGCAGAATCTAACCCAAAATGCTTTTTTTATCATAGGTATGGGTAGTCTAGAAGGAGAGACCATTGAAACCAGCATAGCTGATCTCAAAACAAAATTCTGGGCTATATACTTGGTAAGTGTGCCATTGCTTCTTTGATGATGATTATAGTACTTATGAATCATGATGATTGTGAAAAGTACCCTGAACATGCACTCAATAACAGCATTAGCATGAACAGTGTTGGCCTCAGGAACACTGGTACCGGTATATTTCCTTTGTTCTGAGCCATCCCTAAGTAAAAATGTAGCAGCTCTGACTCAGAGAACAACATTGACAAAAAGCAACAGTTCTGAGAAAAAACTTGCATCTGGCTGGTAATTTTTCAGTCTCAGGCTTGAGGTTGTGTGCATACCAACGGACAGACTTTCCCTCATCATGTTTATTGTTTGTTGTTTTGTTTGTTGTTTTTCTTTATTTAACCAGGGGGATACATATCGCCCGTGGGGCGCTTTTCAATGAGCCCTGGGCCTCTGGAAGACCCCAAACAAAAACATCAAACTCAAACTACTTAGTAATACAAATAATCAACAAAAGTAACTTATAAAGTTACAAAAGTTACTAAATAATACAAAAGCAAGGTAACTTAAGTAGCATACATTGCGCATGAAATCATAATACCAAAATAAGTGAAACAAAAGTGAAGCCTGACCATCATATAACATAGAACCAAGGTAGTACAAAAAAGAAATCAAGATTAAAATCAGGCTTGGAATTTGCATATCAATGATTGCCCAGTACATAAGATTGCTTGAAGGCTGCTAGGGTCCTGGCTGCTTTTAGGTGATGTGGTAGTGTGTTCCACAATACCGCCCCAGACGAAGAAAAGGCACGTCTTCTGTACTCTAGCTTAGACATTGGCAACTGAAGACCTCCTTGCGCCCTGAGGCGAGTGTTGTGAGTATGCACGTGTGATAATTGTGTGAACATTGCAGTGATGTAGGAAGGAGTCAAACCGTTAATAGCTTTATAGACAAGAGTAGCTTTGCTTTTCTTCTGTATTTCAACCACTGGGACCCATTTTAGTGTGTTTAGAAGGGTTGAGGTAGAAGTTCGCCTGTCACAGCCCAGTTATTATCTTAGTTTGCATAAAATTTCAGTATATTGTTTTCTCAAAGCAACTCATATCTGTGGTGAGTAATGATATCCAAAGATATGGAAAAAGACACCCTCAGTTTAGTCTACCAGCAAAATTTGCTCTATAACATGTAGGAAATAGCATTTCATGGCATCAAGATTTAGAAATATCCCCTTCTGCATTCAAAGTGATGTTTTATTAAGCACAATTAACATGAGGGCAAAAAAATTCTAGCTAGAGCAGTCAGTCACTCTGACAAGTTCTGATTACACCTAAGACACCTGTGCACCCATGTGTAAAAAAGACATCTGTGCATAAAGTTGTACATCAGAATTTTTCATATCTAATCATAATATCAAAGGAAAAGTACCTGCTAACTTTCTGCTACCTATCTTGGGGCTCTAATAAGACCCCGTTCATACCAGACATTTAAAAACCCGTTGAACCCAATAAATAATTAGCGTTCATACCAGACTTTACAGAACCGGTTTCTGATCCTGTCTGGTGAATTATCTGGTTAATCAGCCATGATTGCAGTTTGCTGATTCCATTGCAAAATGAAGAAAAACAGTGGAAAAACAGTGGAAACGAAGTCAAGACAACGTGATCAAAAAAGCTTGGATGTCGAACATCGTATGCTGGGTAACACGCCATCGTATGCTGACCCCATCAACAATGAAGTATGATGTAAAAACAGTTGAACAAAGCTTTAGACACCATTCATGATCATACCATTTAGAAACCAGTTTAGACCGCTAAATAATTAGCGGAGAGAAAAAAAGTTTTTTGTTTAGCCTGGTGTGAATGCAAATCGACCGGTTCAAATTCTTTGGGAATTTAATCAGATTTTCAAAAACCACCTCGGAGGTTAATGTAAGGGTTTTTGAGGGGTTCACCCACCGAAAAACCTGGTCTGAATGCTAAATATTTATGGTTCACGGGGTCAGCATCCGGGCCGTGTGTACATGTGACCTCCAAGCTCCGAGTTGTATTTGGTTTGTTTCCACTGTTTTTCCACTTTTTTTTTTCATTTTGCGATGGAATCAGCATATGCAACCTGGTTGGCGGACAAGACCAAGCTCCTGATATCCATTTTCGGAGAGCAGGAGAAACAGAAAAGGCGGGGGGGGGTTCTGAAACAAACATGTTTACCTGGAAATTTCAGTCAACTTTGGGGAGCATGGTTTCTCAAAGACAATGGATCAGTGCTGCAGTAAGATAAAGAACCTGAAGATGGCATACAACACTTAGGCCAAGGACAACAATCGAAAGAGCGTGAGAAACGGTTCTTATTCAAACTGCAATCATGGCCAAATGGGCAATGGACAAGATATTCATCGAACAGGATTTTTTTTATCAAAAGTTTATTGCAAATACATGCCCGAGGGCTAAATGCAGTTACAAACGACATAAGAAAGAAAATACAGTGGTATGTGCATCCGTAACAGTACACTATACATGCCTGTAGCCAGGATTTTGAATGGGGGGGTTCTTCCCACTGCTCAAGGGGACCTTGAGCGCCGTAGGTTCCTAGGGGGGTCTGGGGGCATGCTCCCCCAAAAAATGAACCTTCTCAAATTTTTATTCAATGACAAAGGGAGCAGTTTTTCTACGATTCCAGTCCATCTTTTCAAGAAAAATCTTGGACCTTTACATAAAAAGTGGACCAAAAAGTGGACCTTTACATAAAAAGTGGACCAAAAAGTGGACCTTTACATAAAAAGTGGACCAAAAAGTGGACCTTTGAGCCTTGTGGGGGGTGTTCTTCCGAACCCCGAACCCCCTTCTACAACATACATGGTACTAGCTATAGTTTTACTGGGTTTGACTTCTTCTTTTTAGGCATTGGAAGACGAATTTACCCACTTCTTCTATGATTTGTGGGTTCTTTGATTTTGGTAATAAAATTGTTACCTTCGCCAAGAAGGTTATGTTTTCAGTAGCGTTTGTCTGTGTGTGGGTGTGTTTGTGTGTGTGGTTTAGCAAGATAACTCAAGAAGCAGTGGATGGATTGGAATGAAACTTGGTAGGTGGGTAGGTCTTCATGAGACCTAGAAATGATTAGATTTTGGGCCCCCTTGCGGCTTTCCTAGGTACTGCAGCTGAACTTCCGGTTTTGATATCTCATGTTCTGGACATGCTAGGGTCACGAATTTTGGTTGGTAGATAGCTCTTGGGGTAGGAAAGAAGTGACATGAGTTTGGGTCCCCTAGCGCCTTGTTCTGGAACTGCAGGAGCATTTGTTGAAAAAAATTTGAAGGACGATAACTCAAGAACCGGTTGACGTATTCTCGTGATTTTTGGTATGTAGGTAGTTGAAGTGATGCTTGACATAATCAGATGGCAATTATGCAAATCAGGAGCTAATTTGCATAATTAATGAGGAAATTCTATAAATCTGCTTTGTTCGATAATAGAACTATGAAACACTTGTGACATCTACTTTAGAACGAGACAAACATCTGAGGATATAGATTATGTAAATGAGGACCTAATTTACATAATTTATGGCAATTCTTATAATTCCATAGTTGTAACTGCTGCACCCCGAATTTCATACTTGCCACATTTGGAAGTTAAGTGAAGCTGAACATCAATAAACATAATTTATTCAAATCATTACCTCATTTGCATAATTTATGAGGAAGTGCTATAATAGCCTTTTTGTTATAATAAAGGCTGTCATTGGATGGAGAATATGATCAACTGATGTACTCCATGCAAATGAGGCTCTTATTTGCAAAATCAATGATTAAAATTGTATTATTCGTCACCCGCAAGGGTTAACATCATTTGGCGAAGGTATGAGATCGTGGAACTCTTGTTTTTTCATAGTAGGGAGTGGTCGGGAAGTAAGGGAGCATTTGGTGGTAAATAACCGTTTTCTGATGTCGTCATAAAATGGGCAATTAGAGATGAAATGAATTTCGTCTTCCACTGCATTTGAGGAGCAATTTACAAATTCTCTCCAACACAGGTAGTTTCATATATTGCCCTATTTCGATTTCCAAGGAGTGGGCACTGATTCTTCGTTCCATTCAAAGTTCAAAATCTATTGTTTTAATTATAACGATCTGATACCTTCGCCAAATGATGTTAGCCTTTATGACTAAGAAATTATATATTAATCCTCCTGATTATGCAAATAGGATCCTCAATTGCATGAATTATAGCTGTTGATCATATTCTACAACAAAAGACAGTCTTATCTTAACAAATAAATGCAATTATAGCATTTCCTCATAAATTATGCAAATGAGGTCCTTATTTGAATACTAGTAAGTTATGTTTAATTACGTTCACCTTTACTTAACTTTCAAACACCCCAAGTATGAAATTCCAGGCAGTTACACTATGCAACTATGCAATTATATCATTTTCTCTCATTAATTATGCAAATTAAGTCTTCATTTGCATAATCTATAACTGCCTGTGTTTCTCTCGTTCTTAATAACATATGTCAGAAGATTGAATAGTCCTATCATGGAATGCATGGAATTGCCAAATCTGGACGATAGTCCAGATTCTGGACCAAGTGTGGGAGCAAATCAAAACATGACCGTTCCCGCGCGCATGCGCACTCTCTCCAAGCAAGAAACTAGGGGGCTAAAACTCATGACACTTCATCCCCAGCACAAGAGCTATGTACCATCTAAATTTCGTGACGCTAGCATGTTTGGGTCATGAGATATCAAAACCGGAAGTTCTGCTGCAGTACCATGACAAGCAGCCAGGTGGCCCAAAATCTTATCATTTTTGGTATTATTTAAGGTATTGTATTTGCCGTGTCTGTCTGTGTGTTTGTGTTTTCATTTGTAGCCAGCATAACTTTTCCACCTTCGGATGGATTGTAATGATATTTGGAATGTGGGTACATTTGTAGGTGTTGGTAAACTTCCGGTTTAATGTATTCTTTTGTCCTGGACATGCTACTGTATGGTCTTGATTTTTGAGTNACAAATCAGAGATAAATTATTTTTTATTCAATGACAAAGGG